GGTAAACCCCAACCCCCTCGAATTTCGCGCGTCACACCTATAGAAGTCAAATTTTGTCAACGCATTATGGATTTGGAGGCGATAATAGTGAAATACGGCACAATGTCCGAATTTATGGCACATGTCCGAATTTAGGAACAATCACTGTATCTAACTTTAGCATTTAAGTGTTTTTTTGCATTAACTGTAAATTGTAGATTGTTTCAAACGGCTAAAAACCAGAAACCAGAGATGTCAATCGTTTTCAAATGGCCTTTTAAATATTTGTCCTTTGTAGTATTCGCTCTCGTTTGTAGACCCCAAATCCCGATGTCGGTTTTGCAAACCGAACCGACTGTTCCACCCGCGAGCCACATCCTGATGTTACGTCACCAACAATAATGGCAGCACCCCCCCCCCTACCTTTCCCCGCCGCCCGCCTTTGAGTGAAGGGTGAGCGGGGCCCTCCCCCCCCCTTCCCCTCGCCTTTTTTCTTCCCGTATTGAGCCGTATACTGCTGCTGCAGATTAATGAGACTGCTAAATAAATAATGGGCGCAAGCCCTGCGCCAATTACCAGAGGGGCCGGTGGAGTAGCCACTCTGCTTCCTCCTCAGGAAGTCCTCGCCCCTCGCCCTCGCCCCTTCCCCTCCCTCCCGCCACTTCATCCGGCCTTTGCTGCCAAAGCTTTCGCTGAGCCCTCTGCTGCTGCTGCGTCGGTCGGCCAATCCCGTCGAGCAATACCCCCTCCCCCCCTCCTCCTCGGTTTTACACCCGTAGAAATACCCCGCGAATCTTCTTCAATACACAATAAGAGTGTTGCGCCCGTTCTGATGCCGCCCTTTCAAGGGTCAATCATCATGGCGGGCGATGCCTTGCTTAAGTAGTCGTTTCTAACGTCTGGCTGCGAACGGCTGACAGCTCTCTTCTCTTAGATAGCTCTTCCACCTCGCTGCCGTTCCTCTTCTTCTAGTTTCAAGACAAAGCAACTTTTTCGGGTGGAACTACTTCCTCAAATAAACACAGTCAATTTGTAACTTTGTTCTAATTGCAAGGCAGACACGAGCTTGATTTTCAAGCCAACGTTTTCAGGAAGCCGGCCAGCCTGGATTTCATGACGCATTGCTGGTATAACAGTTTGGTAACGACGAAAAACTGTTTGGAAAATAATAAGCAAAATATACTGGTTTTCCAGCTGCAAAAGAAGCACTACTTGATTTTACTTAAAGTGTTTAAATCGTTATCCTCGACTTAAAGAACAACCTTTCGTGTTAGCCGTGCTTTGTTAATTTAAAATGTTTGCATTTGAGCGAAATTTTATATTTCTGACCCTAATGCACCCCGAGATGTACTCCAACTAAAAAATGCCCCTACGCCCTACCCCCATGGCGAGGCCATCCGATAAAACGGTCGCGCTGCTATTTTCCCTCTGAAAAGGCGCTGTCACCGGCGATATCATGTGATCTTTTGGCTTCATAAAATGGCGCGGGCCGGGCACGCGGTGGGCCGAGGGCGGGGTGGGACCCGAAACCAGGGTGCGGCCAACCCTTGTCAGTCTTAAGTGACAGCGTGATATCGAGAGCACCCCGTTCAACCACCGTTTTTTTAAACCTTAACCTCAAAAGAAAAAGGACCGTGGGAGGGGAGTAGGAGACCGAAGACTGGAAGGGCGAAGGAAAGATGTTAAGTCGAGAGATGAAGCAAAGAGAGTGTCATGGAAGTTTTCCGGCAGAGATTTACTTCAAGCGGTACCGATCTAAGGGACTAGGATATCTAATATTGAATAAGTGGGGGACGAGAGAAGAACATGGGGGAAAAAATAAAGCATGTTTGTATTGGCGTTTACCTCTGAGGCCAATTAGGTCTGGTTCCGAAAACAGCTCGCCTCCTCGTTGGTAAATATTTGAACAGGCCAAATGCACGGCGCCTACTGCTGCCCCTGAGGGGCCGCGGCCACCCCGAGCCGCACCACGCCCCCTGTCTGTCCTCTTTTGGGTTTGGGGCGCCGAGAAGACTCCTCCGCCCCCCATTCTTTCCCTGCTCGCCTCTCTACTCTCGGGAAGGGCTAGGGAAGCCCGTCATCTTTGTCTGGCTTTACCCTTTTGCCCGGATTTTTCACCCGCGCGCCCTTTCTCCACTGTTGGTGACTTTTCGTGTTTTTCGCTATGCTTAACTTCTGCCATTGCTCAAATGATTGGAAAACACGTTTCTTAACAGTTGAAGCCTACTTTTCTCACTTCGCTCGTAAAATTTTAAAGAGTTTTCGTTTCCTTAACTACTGTTTTGGTTTTGCTGATAGGGTGATAGGGTCGTGTGGGATATTTCCACCACACTTCCTGGTCAGATCACTCTTGTGGCAGTGCATTAGCCGAGCCAGACTCTCCTGTCCTCGTGCGCTGGGTGCTAATGAATGGATGCGGAGCGACTGGACAATGATAATAATAATAATGAAGTTATCAAGATTGAGCAGGCAGAAGACCAGTCTCTGGTTAAAATGGATTGGCAAACTTTTTACTTTAGCAGAGGATTTCCATTGATTTGGACGTGTTTCAGCAGAGGAGCTGGAGTTTCCTACATATCTAAACCAATCCCTTTCTCCCTCTTTTCCGGCCCTGCTCTCTGCTTGGGCCCAGGTTCCCGTGTGGCCGAGGGAGCAGCAAAGCTCTGCGTCAAAAGTTATTTATATTCCTCCTGTGTAGGACGAGTATTCAGGACGTTACCTTAAATCCCTCTGCGCGAGGATTTATTCCTCCCTATTCTAGGCTGCCTCCACTATCAGCTCGTTTAGCAAAAATTTCCTGGACTACCCAGTTCCCCCCCCCCTCTTGGCGTCCTGCTTTTCTTCTTCGTCACCCCCTCCACCTTTCTCTCTCTCCCTCTTTATCCACCAGTCCGTCCGCCGCTTTTATGAGGGGCACTAGACTATCCGGAAATAAATTGTGACGATTTGCCGTCCTCCTCAAGTGCCCCATCTCTCAGCCGAGTGTAGCGCCCGGCCCGGTCACGGGGCCCGGCCCGAAGAAATCCTGGCGACCTGCGCCCCGCGCCGTGGCGCTCGCGCTGCCCGCCGCCCCGGCCCTCATGACTTGCATGAGAGGCTCCGCCCGCCATGAGCCCCTATGTCACGCCGCGCTCCCCCGCCGCGCCGCACGCCTGG